TCTGTCACCACAGAGAAGGTTTGAGAGTGTCACCTTGGGTGCTGGCCTATACTGTCACATTTTTGACACTGAGTCTTTGGCCACCTCAAACTTTTCTTTCCAAAGTTAGCTGTAAAGATGCAGATTCCATGCACCACATGTGGGAACAGCTGTATGTGTGCACTCAGCTGCTTGGAGCCACCCCAGCCTGTAGGAAGACTCCACACTGGCTGGCACTGGCCTAAGCAGGCACCATCAGCCTCTTGCAGGAGGTTTGCAGGGATTTATGCATCAGGCTTGCTCCCTCCTCCAGCTTTCCCGTGTTAGTTGCACACATATCTGGAACTAGAACTAACCATATTACTAAGTTTTCACTTGGGAGACACTTAGTAGGAGAAAATAATCATTCACTTAGTGACGACATTGCCCTCTTTAACAGTGGGGTCCGTTCTGATAAATATCATTTCAGGTTATTTTTATACCCATAGATTATCAGAGTATACTTCCACTGTGATGGCATCACAAGATGGTACGACTTTATGGAGCCACCACCCTGCTGATCCAGGCACATAAATGAGTGGAACCCAGCTCCTGACCTCCTGAAGGAACACACTTTCAGCTTCCACTTCAAAATAGGTGGACCGCTGCCCAGACAGCATTGATGTAGTCTATAATCCCCACACCACAGACCTAAATTAGCGAGAGACCTAGTTCAGGAGGGTAAGAGTCTCCGAGTCTGTTCTGCTAGTGAACAACAACAAGGAATGTGTGTATCTAACAACAAGAAGACATTGTCTATGCCGTCATTCATTCCACATGTATTTCTTGCATGCTTACCATGTGCAAGGCACGGCTCTCAATGTTGCCACACACCCACAAACCATAAAAATGACCTGCCTGTGAGGACCTGACATACATGTGTAGAATACAAACAACAAACATGAATTAATGAATGATGAGGCAGTAGGTAAGAAAGTGGGAAAGAAGGGTAAGAAGGGTACAGAGAAGTAGAGGGGGTGCACATTTGACAATGGTCAGCAGGTTTCTGCCCCAAGGATTTTTTGGACATGTGACAGTGGTGCAGGTCTTAAGACGGATGATTTTTAATTCAAAAAGTGGTCATGTTGGTCCCTGTGCTGTGTTGACTTGAATGTTTCACTTTGGCTCCAAGGATCTCGAGTCTGAACATTCATGGCAGAGAGTTGCTCTTGGCCTGGGCCTTTCCTGTCTTGATACCTCATTCTCAAAACACTGGCTTTAGTTCAGGCTTACGTGAGGGAGATGTCTCCTGCAGCCCAGTACCATCATGGTGCATTCACTGAATTGTGTAGGAAGCTGGCAATGGCTGTGCTTTATGGATTTAGGGGCCAGAGAAAGGATTCCCACGTATGTAGAGAGGAACAAGAAGGTTGATAGCATGAAGTCTGTGTTTTTCATGTCTGATTCCATTGACGGGGCCACCCATTGGCTGAAGATGCCTGTGGATGGCATGGCCATCTATTACTCCGTGGCCTTGAGAGTGAGGACACTGCACAGACTGATCGTGGAGCAGCCTCTCTGTCCAGAACTAATCTGTTTTCAGCTATGGAAATGCTGAATGGCTGGCTGAATTGCTAGGCTTTGACACAAGATATGCTATGGGAGTGCCTACCTATGAATCTCAGTATCCCCCACCCCTGAGGTCTGCTCAGCATATCCTACCCCCCCCCACCATGATCTGCTACATCTCAGAAAAGATGGGCTGTCATGCCCATCCTCAAGCTTCAATTTCAAAACACTTAGTTACCAAAGAATCTAGTGACTACCAAGGAAATTTATTCCTACATTCTGGAATGCTCATATACCTGCTCTGTCCTGGCCTCAAGAATAAAATACTAGAAGGAAAGGTGACAAGGAGTTGACAATAAATGTAGCCATAGCCCAGAGTGGACTTAAAAAAAAACAATTATCCTCAACAGTTAACGAATAGCTTTCTGAGACAAACGTAGGTTGGAAACTCTAAGACAGATTTTAGTGGTGCTTCAGACTTTAGACATCTTACATCAGTTCCTGGAACTTAATGGGGTCTCCTCCTTTTTATTTACTATCCTCACTAGTTTTGTGTCAACTTGACACAAGCTAGAGTCATCCGAAAGGAGGAGACCTTGGTTGAGAAAATGGCTCCGGTTGTAAGGTATTTTCTTAATTAGTGATCAATGAAGGGGGGTCCAGCCCAATGTGGGTGGTGTCATTCCTGGACTGGTGGTCCTGGGTTCTGTAAAAAAAAAAAAAAAAAAAAAAACAGGCTGAGCCAGCCATATCCAGCAAGCCAGTAAGCAGCACTCCTCCATGGCCTCTGCATCAGCTCCTGCCCTGTTTGGTCCTGTCCTGACTTCCCTCAGTGATGGAATGTTACCCTGAAGTATAAGCTGAATGAATCCTTTCCTCCCCCATGGTCATGGTGTTTCATTGCAGCAATAGTAACCCTAAAAAGACACATTCATCACTTTCAACCCCACTTTCTGTTCTGTCCCTGTTGAATAGCCTCCACCCTTATATCCTCTGTGCCTGGAATGCCTGAGTCTTCACACTGTGCTTTCTCTGAGACTCTACACACCGAGAACCTCCCATGGCCCTATTGTTTGAATCATGAAGGCCACAAAGATGCTAGCTTAGCTAGCCCAAGGTCCTGAATGGTCACTCAACCCTCCCTTCCTAGTGCTTTTCTTCTCTCCCTCCACATCCCCCTATATGTCAGCCATGCACAAAGCACCATACCACCCACCTCTGTTCCTGACTTCAAGGCTCACTCTCTCCCCTCCAGCTAGGTCTCCTTCAAGATCCACAAGCCCCCAATGTTACTTACCTTTGTAGTCTCCAGTAAGCCACTGACATCTCAACCATGTCTTTGGCACATGACGACAATACCTGACTATCTTAGGGACTATGTCCCTATGTCGTGTCTACATGTAAGGACCTTGTATTATTTGGCTGGCTTCCCCGGCACTTCATGTACACAACACAGTACAGAAAGTTGGACCCAAATCAGTGACAGGAGGCCAAGCTAGCAACCTGTTCCTGACCAAAGAAAAGCTTAACCAACTCCCCCTTGCCTGTGGCTTATCTTAAAGCTACATGTACTCCGTGCTCCTCCACAGACCCCCTCAGAAAGTGCCCATAAAGTCATCAGCCTCCTTCCAAGCTCATAACCAAGGCTGGTTGGCTTACCCTTTGCTGGTTTTTAAAAAAGAAGAATCTGTTTTCAGGAAATAAAGGAAAAATAGGTCAAAATGAAAGCCTACAACTTAAAGGAGTTGAGTTGTTTCCTTGTCCTGTTCCCCACCTCCCTCTCCAGCCGCACCCCCTCATGCTCTGTTTTGCTTTTCATGCCAATTGCTAAAGACTATAATTTTAAAAACTGAACAGACTTTTCCAGAGCCATGAGGAATGTGCGTGTGCACATGGATTTTTCCACAAGGACACTTACTGTCTTTTGGTTAATCTTAGCTAGTAATAGTGAAGCTGGGCAATCAGATGCTTACATATATGCATCACCCATCCATCCATCCATCCATCCACCCATCCATCCTCTCAGCCCTTGTTCTAATTTGTTTGAGAGGCTCAGGACAGACCAAAGGGATGTTTGTGTTTCACCCAATCAGACAGTTGTTTGATCAGGTTTGTGTTCCATTTATTTGGATGGTTTTTATGGTTCCTTTGTTGTTCAGAGAAAGACTTTGGGAGTCATAATCCTGTATCCTTTGACCTTCTGTGCCATGTCTCAATGGTGCTCACACAATGAGAAAGGAAATGAGGACTATTTCTACTCAGTTACTTAAGCAAATTCTGAACATGGTTGTGGAACCAGAAAAGTTGAGTATCACAGCGTTCAGGGTTCATATAGTAAATACCAGCCTCTCCTACCTAGAACATCACTGTCTGCTCATTCCCTGCTCAGTCCTAGTTCTAGCCACCCCTTTGGCCTTTCCTATTTCTGTGTGGTTATCAGACCAGGCCCCTTTTCTGCCTGTAGAAGTGTCTGAGAGGCTTTGGACCGCCTACAGTGTGAACACACCTCTGAGGGTCATTCCATAGCATTGGTACCATGAGGTAATGCTGGAGTTGACCTTGCAGGAACATCATGGGCCTGGAACTTGAGATGCTCTGCCTAGGGGCTCTTTCATCCAAACGCCTCTCCTCCGCTCTTCAGAGCTGCCCAAGATCCTTGCTAGTCATGTTTGAATAAGTTTTGTCCCTTTATAATAGTTTATATTTTTAGAAAATCTTATAAGGTAGCTCATAGATATTAGCATAGCCCCATAAGGTAGATAATTCATACAAAATTTCCTTCTATAAAGATGAGGATCAGGTCCATCCCACATCTCACAATTAGTAAAGTCAGGGACAGAATTTGAGTTAATCCTTGTTGCTGGCAGTTTTTCTTGTCCCCATAGATCCTGCCACCATTCTCAGTCCCAAATAAACACACCATTGGCCAGTGACTAGGGCTTCTTTTGGCTTAATTATTTACCCATTCCTATTAATCTAAGTATTGTCACGTGGTCTTATCTTACTGGAGAAGAGTCCGGACCTGTTAATCCTTTGGCAGCCTACATGGTGACTCTTCTGGCAGGTCCTCTCTGCCTGCCTTTCCCAGAATTTTCCTCATCCTAGCCCAGACAGTGTTTTATTCATCAACCAATAAGAAGATGGAAAAATATATATATATATATATATATATATATATATATATATATATTTCCTTCATCAAATCCTTCAACTTCAAGTTCAGGGTTCGTCTTTCCTACTGCTGCAGCTCCCATATAAGACAAATCTCAGAATTAGAGTTAATGCATTTTCTATCACCATACCCCCACCTTCCCCACCCCAGTCCTGGGGGAAGAGTATACTTCAGGAAGTTGGTAGTACTTAGCAAGTTTTTGCAGAAATAAATTTAGCCTCTTCTGATCACCAAGAGAGCATCTTCATATAACCTTCCTGCCAAACAAAGCTAACATGCCCTATTTGTCATTTCTCAACAGACCCTTCTTATGACTCAGTCAGGAGGGGAGGATGGAGCAATAATATGAACTCTGGCCTCAACAAAAGTAAGTAAATAGCAAACCAATTTTAGGGAAAGAAATATTTTCTGGGAGCTAGAAGTTGAGAGGTGGGAATAGAGTTTTGAGAACCAAACATTTGTCTCCATGCTCTCTGATTAGATATCAATATGAAATTTCAGAGGCTGTTCATACTTTTAAGGTTTGTTTTGCTGCACTTGGTTTTGAACTTAAAAAGTTTGGAGGTTTCTCGGGACAAGTTGATTCATAAAAGAAAAGTGCCTGGTCTGGAATTGTTATTTCAGATATACAATAAATCTTTAGGTCTTGGATTCTCTGCTTGACAAGGCTTAGTCATGACAATGTATTGAGCCCCAGTTAGACTGACATGAAGGATAAAATATGTGGAGATGAGATGTGTCGCATTCATTCATTTGTCCAACAATAATGAGGTGATGGTTTGTTGAAACCCACCCAGTATCTTCCGTTTAGGGAGAAATGAAAGAGAATGATTCATTCCTCAGCCAGTGTTTCCATCTTACTATCTCCAAGAAGTAAACCTGCTGGGAAATGCAAGGGAGGTAAAGAAAACTATTTTATTAATGAGGTTGCGATTGTGCAAGCAATAACCTGGGTCTATCTCAGTTATGAGTGTGCATTATCCGTTCATTCTGCATGCAGCATGTGGCTCTGTGGGACTCACAAAGATGAGCCAGGCATGGACCTGATATTTAGGCAAGGGAGAGAAATCATGAACAAACGTAATTATTTTCATCTGGGGGATGGTAAGGAATGCTGTGCACCTGCTACCATTTGAGTTAGCTCTACAAGGACAGGCCAGGTTTCACTCTAGGGAGCAGAAGGCAGGTAAGACTGAGAGATGGAGGTGAGAGAAGACCATGGTGGCACATCTGGCAGTGAGGACCCCAGATTCCTGGAGTTTAGGATGTGTTGTGGACATAAGGTAAGAAAGGGCTGGTGAACGATCCTGTGAAAATAGACCTACATCTTTAGTGGTGAGGAACCACTGATATGATGAACAGTATAATGGGCGAGTGGGGAGAGAGAAGTGTGAGGATGGCGGTCACACCCAACCATAGACCACACAAAGAGCAGCACACATTCAAAATGGGGAAGCCAGAGAATATGAGATACCATAGAGGGGTCCTCACAAACACAGAATCACAGTGCTCAAATGTCGCTTTCTCCGGAGAGATGTTCATAAAGAACTTGTCCCCTTGAGACAGGTCTCTCACTAAACCTGGAGATCACCGTTTCTCAGCTAGGCTGGCTGGCCAGCAAGCCTCAGCAATGTGCTTGGTTCTGCCAGCACCAACCCCTTCTGGGACCCATGTTACAGATGCATCAGCCACACCATGCTTTTTACCTGGATGCTCAGGGACTGGACTCCTCCTTGTGATTCTGCTGCACACACTCTCCATATCAGCAGGCATCGTTCAGTGCTGTCTCTCCTGTTAAAATATAAGTTCCTTGCTGAATCGCCTGCCTGGAGACCAGTGCCGCATAGCAATGTGGGGAGTATCCATTATAAAATGAATACACGAGCACATGAGAGAGGGGGTAGAGAACAGCACATGTACCCTCCGTCTGGGGAACATGTGACAAGAACATGTTCCTGCCCCGTGAAGAACAGTCCGCTTACCACCTTTGTTCTCTTCTCTACAGGTCCTCCCCTTGGAGGAGCACAGACCATGGGCAAGAACACTGAGCAGCGGCCCCAGCCAGGTACCTGTCTCAGATTTGGAGCCCCTCCCTTGTGTGTTAGACAGTTGTGGATTCCACAGTCAATGGGGGAGTGAGTGAGACTGTGTACAGTTGGCCCTCCACATCTGTGGGTTCTGTGTAGATGGAGGGTTTTCTGTCCTGAATACCAGCTCCCTGTCTGGGCATCTGCTTCCAAATTACCCCACAGGGACTTAGTATTATTTATAAATGCTCTGCCAGTAGTACAATGGGATTAATAGTTAGCTCTTACGACTTAAATTAATATATATATGTACATATAAATATGTGTGTATATGTGTGTGTGTATATATACACACATATATAGTCACGTGGCTCGTGACTTTACCTGTCTTTTAGCATGTCTTGCTTCCTAGGTAGATGGCTGGCTGGCATCTTAACTCCACCCTTCTCCTTCTCATCATCTCAGTTTGGCTTTCATGCCTAACTTCCAGCCCAGCTGCAGCTGTGAGCTTCTTATTAACCAATGAGAGTAACACATAATCGAAGTGTAGAAAAGGATTGTTCCACTACAGGGATTAGCCAACCACAGACTCATAATACACAGGAAAGGCTCTGTATCTGTACCGAAGGGGACAGACTCGATTTCTTTCATTATTCCAACAATACAGCAAACTGTGCATAGCATTTGCATCCTATTGGTAATCTAGGGATAATTTAAAGAACATGGATGGATATGCTTAGATTATATGCAAATATCTCATTGTCTGTACAGAACTTGAGTGAGCATTTATGGATTCTAAGAGCCTTAATGGGTCTTAGAACCTATTCCCTATGTATACCAAGGGACAACTCTACTTCACACATTGTCTCTTCTACCTAAGAGAGTATCTATGAATGAAGTAGCAAGTACTGGACCCAGGAAATGATTTGTTAAATATTAGTCAGAAAGGGGACTTCCAGCTGAAATGGCCCAATGCTGTAGAAGAAGAAAGCAGAGGCCCAGGTAAGTGAAAGGAATTCTCAGAATACAAGCAGAGCTGAAGCTCCAGAATGCTCACGTCTCATCCAAGACTTTTACACTTCATGAAACCATACTTTGGAGATGCCCTTACCTACTGATGGATTTTCTTAACAGTTAAGGTAGAAGAACTTTGAAGCCATGAGCCTAGAAATCCTTAATGCTGAAATGATGAGAGACTGCAATCTATAATACCTTCTAGAGCATGACCTCCTATGACAGACATGCCAGCCACTCCCCACAACCCCATCCCAGCCCTTTCTGGTACTTGCATGCTTACAACAAACAGGAAGTTGACAACAATACCTTGGCTCAATTCTTTTCCGAGCGAGCATCCTTTGTTCATTTTCCTCTCTGGCTGCTTTGTCTTCTAGAGAAAGGTCCCACAGCAAGGCCCTTCCCAGATCTGAAGCCAATCATTGTGCTCAACACCACGTCTTTCATGTGTGGTGTAGCTGAAGTAAGATCTAAACAAGCTATTTGCTTTGGGATGGGCAAACATTCCACCCAAAATATAGAAAGTGCATAAAAGGTGAAATGCAAGTGAAAACCAAGTCAGGTAGAGCAGGAAAAAAATTGATATCATCTGCCCAAACTCGGTGTCATTTAAATAAACATTAAAAGTTAATAAAAAGGTGGACTAAAAGGCTTTAAGAACTGTTCGATTTAATTCAAAGCTTTAAAAAGAAGCTGCATTAATTTGTTAATAATTACAATTATAATTGGGGGAAAACAGTGGTTTTTTAAAAAGTGATTTTATAGCTAAAATACAAATTCTGGTAGGTTTTCTAAGCTTAAAATCACAGAATGTTTTGGTAGAAAGGACCTAAAGCCAGGGACCCAAACCACCCTTCTTAGCTGAGAGAATTTATACACAGAGGTTGTCCAAAACTCAAGTTAGGGCATGCCATGGGTGGGACAAGAACCCAGGCTGCCTGGTGGTTTTCATGGTCCATCAGAAAACTCAGACATGTGTAATATCTTCAGCATTAAAAAGGGGGTTGATTAATGGCTAGTAGTCACCATACCACCTTTAAGCCTAATAAGCAATCCTTCAGTGTAGTCATTGTGTGGTTAAATATTGGTCAGCTCCTTTGCAAATGTATGGGTGATTTTGTTGGTGGGGGGGTGAGGGTGGTAATGACAGCATAATCTAAAAGTTCAGAAACCGAATGTGAAGAAATGGTGCTATTGCTACTCTGTGTCGATTGGGCCACAATTATGACCAAGGTCTTTGATCAATTTGACCTATGAACCTGAGATAAAAGGGGGACCGTCGAGGTTTCTTATGGATGCTGTTGTCAAATTGTCTGAGGAGTGAAGCAAACTTTTTGTTGTTGTTGTTGTTGTTGTTTCCTTAGACCCTTATCAGATCCTGGGCCCAACTAGCAGCCGCCTAGCCAACCCTGGTGAGTTAACCTTGGCCTGCAAGCCTTTCTTTCTAGAATGTTCTCTGCATCTGTGGGTCACAGAAACCTTAATCCTAAGACTGTCTGGAGAGTTTTACCAGCTTCCTTAGTCAAATATTCAGTTGTTCACAGACAACAGTCCAAGGCCTGTTAGTGGGTAGCAGTGTCCACTTACTGAAGTACGTCTGGAGAGCAAATGTATTCAGTCATACTGCATCTCTGCACGGAGATGTATGTCCATGGTAAATAACTCGCGTAGAAGTTGCTCTCAGTTACTCCTCAAACAGGGCTCTTGAATAAATGGCCCCAAGTGTTTTGCTTTGATTTGAGTGTTGTGGTTATCTGGCCTTTTAAAAGGAAGTCTATCCCTAAAAGAGTTGCACATCAACTGAACTCAAAAGTGTGTTAAGGATTTGCTATTAAAAATAACTCTTAAAAATGTTGTGTTCTTCTAACCCAAACCATAGAGATTGAGAGCTAAAGGCAAGGACAGCCAGGCTTACATGCCTGCTGTTACCTGCAGCACTGCAGGAAACACAAGCTGTCTGGGCCTATTCCCTGCTCTTTAGCACCAGACCATTCATGCCCAGAAGATAAAGAGGCCACCTAACATCCCCTCTTGGTATTTTTACTTCTACCTACATTCTCTGTGCAGAACTTAACACTAAAAGCCAGACACTAGGACTCTACTGGAGAACAGCCAAGCTTAGTGAACCCTAAATCCATGAGGTGCCCTCTTCCTGCGACTACCCACAGCCGCATCCAAGAGGTTCTGGGATGCTAGACACTCTTTAAGGCCAACAGGAAGTAGCGTGAGGGACTTCAGTAATAAGGAGAGATTAGATAGTGACTCAAGTCTAAGCAGAAGAAAAGATAGGGGAGTTGGCTTCCCTGAGAGTATTACAGTTTACTGGGACAATGCCAACACTTTATTACCAACCACTGGGCAATCTTTCTTAAGATCTAACCTTGCTTAAAATGCTAATCTCAGAGTTAACCCTATTCATTTTACCTTTCACACTAGCTGGGTAAGAGGATCCTTAATGATTTAGCAAATGAAGTGATGGTCATGCTAATTACCCCACTTGGATCATCAATCACTGTGTACTCATGCCAAATTATCACCCTACGCCCTATAAACATGCACAATTCTTATGTTCCTGTTTCTATTTTCTAAAGCGAAGAAGAGTTACCTCCGTGATTCTGACATAAGAGAGGGTTTCTTAGAAAGGATGAAAATTGCCATGTTTAAAAATCAGGACTGAAACCATTTTTCTCCTGTTCCCTCACTGCCTGCAGGAAGCGGGCAAATCCAGCTGTGGCAATTCCTCCTGGAGCTACTGTCTGACAGTGCCAATGCCAGCTGTATCACCTGGGAGGGAACCAACGGGGAGTTCAAAATGACAGACCCGGATGAGGTGGCCAGGCGCTGGGGAGAGCGGAAGAGCAAGCCCAACATGAATTATGACAAGCTGAGCCGGGCCCTCCGATACTACTATGATAAAAACATTATGACCAAAGTGCATGGCAAAAGGTATGCCTACAAATTTGACTTCCATGGCATTGCTCAAGCCCTGCAGCCACATCCAACTGAGTCATCCATGTACAAGTACCCTTCTGATATCTCCTACATGCCTTCCTACCACACCCATCAACAGAAGGTGAACTTTGTCCCTCCCCACCCATCCTCCATGCCTGTCACCTCTTCCAGCTTCTTTGGAGCAGCATCACAATACTGGACCTCCCCTACTGCTGGGATCTACCCCAACCCTAGTGTCCCTCGCCATCCTAACACCCATGTGCCTTCACACTTAGGCAGCTACTACTAGAACTTAACATCAGTGGCCTTCTGGCTGAGGTTCCAGCTCTCACTTTACCTGGATACTCTGAACTCTAAAGGACATAAGTAGCCTTGAAGAGTCAAGAAAACTGGACATTCTTTCTTTTGGATGAAACTTTTGCATTTGTTCTTTTAAAAATGATTATTTTTATGTCAAAAACTTTTGCTTCCTCTACCTGAACAAAAAAAAAAAATTTTTTTTTTTTAATCATCCCATTGGCCAGTATACCAGTTTGGATTCTCAGCCTCCTATCATCTATTGAATTAAATATTTAGGTTACTGGAATGGTTATGCCATGGTTCTGAGAAAAAAGTATAAATTTTCTTTATATTTTTAATGACCAAAGCAGTTTCTTATCAATACACGGGTCTCATCATTGTAGGATTCTATAGGATAATGAATCATGGACTGGACCAGGAATGGTCTGGTTTGAGACTTAGTGAAAATCAAGGCAGGATGTTTATAATCTTATCTTAGGAGGACTTAATTCAGCCGATGGCAACTGGAACACTGGCTGCAAGGCCAGTGAAGTTTTTGCCCAACTGGAATTTAAAGGAAAGATGTGTGTGTATGTGTGTATTTAAGAAGCCATGGGTATTACAAAATCCCTCTCAATGGGCAATATGCACTTGGCTGACCATTCTGTCCAGAAATAGTCAGAATATGAGCTAAGACGTTTTGACACAGACACTCCTAAAGGACGGAGAATTAAATAGCTATTTTTTGTAATGACAATGGGTCCCAGTACTTTAAGAAGTCATAGGGACTTCTAAACTCAGACAGATTCGCAAGCGCTGTGCGTTTGTCAGAGCACCAGACCACGGTCAACCAATCAGAAGGCAACTTACTGTATAAATTATGCAGAGTTATTTTCCTATATCTCACAGTATTAAAAAGTGAATAATTAAAAGTTAAAAAGAGTGAATAAACGAGTTGACCTCGGTCACAAATGCAGTTTTACTATCAAATCAATCATTGTTATTTTTTTAAATATAATTTGTACATCTTTTGTCAATCTGTACATTTGGGCTGTTTGTACGTTTTTATAGCTGGGTTTTTTTTTTTAATAAGCATAATGTGACTATTGATGAAAAGAAACAGGGCGTTTAAAGTCACTGTGTTTTTAGGAAGAAAAGCCGTGGTATTGTTATTTAACAGGAATGCCAGAACAAAAAGAAAGATTCACGTAGATCTGCAGAGCTTTAGAAATGTTTGTAAATAACAGGGCTACAATGACCTGAACAGAACAAACTCTGCCTCGTGGATACGAGGACTTCTGCTCCATATATGCAATATATTTTTAGACGGAAAATATATATAATTTTGCAGGTAATCATGACTTTTTAAACTATATTAAGTGTTAAGCTGACAACTGTCCAATGAAGACTATGTTGTAAAATAATTTGACTTAAATAAATTGTGCCTTCTTCTCTCAGAACTGAAGACATTGTGTTTTTATTTACTGCCATGACAAAGGCTTTCCCACAGGGAAAGTGTCTTTATTACTGTTGGGGTGTATGCGAGTGTGTGTGTGTGTGTGTGTGTGTGTGTGTGTGTGTGTACATGCCATCACACACGTGTAGAGATCAGAGGACTTTTATGAGTTAGTTTTCTCCTTCTGCCTTGGTTTTTGAGGCAGAATTTCTCTTTGCATTTCTACCACCTTGTAGACTTCAGGCTGAGTCCCAAGCTGCCCTACAACTCTCCTGCCTCCATCTCTCCATGTCTGGCTTTTTTCCATGGGTCTTAGGAATCAAACTCAGGTCATTAGGTTTGCACATCTCACTTTCATCCACTGAGGTCTCTCACTGGCCCCAAGGAAAAACTGCCTACTGGTTTCTTATACCATCAATAATTTTCCAAACACACACACCGGAGTACAATATCAGTAAAGTTCCAAACTGTTGTTGATGATGTTTTCAACATTTTCTAAGCCATTTGTAAGGTAAACTGTATCCAAGGAACTACAGCAGCAGCCATCCCCAGGACCTTGCCTGGTATACTTGACTCTCTTCTGCCCATAAGTTGACCTGATACTGGGATGGAGAACAAGGGTCTGGCTACATTTAAGTCCACCATGTGGTTTTATGCAGACTTTCCAGCTCTATTTTCTGCCCATTAGAGAAGCTTGCTTCAGATGGCTTCACTGTTAGGCAGCTTAGTCCTCTGTAGAACAATGAAGAAGAATAAGACTAGAAAAAGCCCTTGTTGTTGCATGGACTCTCACAGAATTAGTAACTCTAGAAACGCCTTAAAGATGTTTGTCACCTATGGTCCTTGCTGAGCTGAACCCAGTAATTTCTAGACCAGGTAGGTTTACCTGAAGAATATGAAATGAGTTCTGAACACTGATTTCCAACTTTTTAGACTTGCACCCTATATTGTAAACTACATTAAGCATATATTCTCTCTCTCTCTCTCTCTCTCTCTCTCTCTCTCTGTGTGTGTGTGTGTGTGTGTGTGTGTGTGTGTGTGTGTGTGTTGATTTGCATGTTGCATAGAGGGGCTTTTATACCATAGATATACATTTGTAAATTCACCAAACCATAACTGAAAATATTCAGAAACTGTTTTAAGTTGTGGGGTGGAGAGACAGATAAAGGCTAAGAGCAATCGCTGTTCCTGTGGAGGACCCAGGGCACCCAGCACTCATTTTGGAAGACTCACAACTGCCTATAATTCTAGCTGCCAAGGGTCTGATACCCTTTTCTGACCTCCTCAGACACCTGCACACACATAGCATACACCTATACAAACAAATATACACATACACACACACACACACACACACACACATAAATAAAAATCGCATCTTTCCTGAATATATACAGACTCTTATTGTCACTTTTGTCATTTTACCTAATCATGTATTATAACAACTAATTACATAGTATTTAGCTTTGCACTTATATCATATACTATCTAGGTTTGATTTAGAGAGTATTAGGAGGATATGCACGTAAATGCTGAGTCCTATAAATAAGGGATTTGGACAACCATGGATTTTGTGTCTTCAAGTGGTCCTGTAATCCATCTCCTGTGCTATCCAGGGAAAAATAAGATTAATTATTTATTATGAGTCAAAGGACAAAATTTTATAAGGTGATATAAAAATACATTAGAGCTGACATTCTGTTTTCTCCCTTTTTTATATTACATTGCCCCTGTTATCGAAACAGAAACAGTGACCATTAGTGAAGTAAGTACACATATCTATATACATATATGGATTTCCTAGTGCCTTCTAACAGAGGAAAGAATGAAGACTTGGCATTGATGGCCCAGACATAGAAAAAGAAAATGAGAAAAGCTAGATATGCTATAAATAGTCAACTAGAAAGCCCTCCCATCAGTTTCCAAATACACAAAGTATACAAATATACAACAGACTATTAGGAAAAACGAGGAGGCACATATGCCTGCCTGAGTGCTGTAAGAACAGGATGCTCACACCATTAGTTTGCCCTTTTGGAAAAAAAAATATTTGATGCATATATACCTGTATATATGTACATACATATACGTGCTGGTACCCAGAGATGCCAGAAGGGGGTATAGGATCCTTGACACTGGAGTTACAGGGAGTTATTAGACAATTGTCATGGGTGCTGCCTGACACAGATACTGGAAAGCATACCTGTATCTCCTGTGAGAACAAGGGGTTTTAACTCCCGAGCCATGTCTCCAGGCCCTAGTTGGCCCTCTTTAGCTGTGTTTCCTATGCAAAGCTGCAGCACGTTTGCTCAGTCATGAGAGCTCCCTTTTATGACTTTGTCATCTCCCAAAAGGCCCCATCTCCAACTAGTCAAACATTAGGGATTAGGTTTTGACATATGGATTTTCAATGTAGCAGAGGTTTTAAGTTTTCAGTAGCCAAATTTTGTTGATACCCAAAGGAAGTTTCTTTAAAACATTTTTAGCGTAAAAAAACCACCAGAAGTTTAAGAACATTTAAAGTGATCATGGCTGTCTCTAACCTATATCTGCATGCAGTTAGAGAATGGGTGTAACATGTTTGTTTAGTCCATGGATAATACATAAAGTGTCGTTCCACGGAGAGAATATTTGTAGTTGATACCAAGGGAGACAGAAGGATCCAGAATGCCAAGGAAGAAATGAATACCCATTCTTCCCAAGTAAAGTCACTGACAGAGCAAGGTATCATTTGTGATGGTTTTAAAAATCACTGCAATTAAACATAGTTTTTAAAACATACATCTGAACTCAACATGTACAGACATGTTTCCCAAACAGCACTCAACATATTGTAAAAATTGTTTCCACCATCTTTACCTTGGAGTAAGTAGTAAAAGTAATCTAGTAACTTAAATATATATGTGTATATGTATATATACATATACATACATACATACATACATACATACATACATACATACATGCCTAAATTATAGGCAAACACCACATTTGTAAGCGACTTGAGAATCTAGGAGTTTGGGTATCTCTTGGGAGTTTGTGAAACTATTACCCCTCAAATTCCAATGTACAACTGGATTTTTTTAAAAAGAGTTTTAGATTTATTTATCTTATTTTCTGTATGTGGGTGCTTTACTGAATGTATGTGTGTTAACACCCAAGCACCCAAGTTCCTGATGCCCATGGAGGTCAGAAGAGGGAGGTTAGAGCTCTGTTACTGGTGTTATAGCTGATTATAAGTCACCACATGGGTGTTGGGACCGGAACCCTGATCCTCTGCAGGATCAGGAAGAACCTTTAACAGTTGAGCCACCGTCTCTCTAGCCTGTTTTCTATGAGAAGTTTTGGACTCTGGGGTCTTGCTGTCACATACTACTTTCTCTCGTGTTTCTTTATTAACAACCATGATGCAGATACATTGCTTTGAAAACTTCTGGAATAGCACCCTTTGGAAGAATTGCTTGGGAAGCCAGCCTGTGAGCATGAACTCTGCTGTCCAGCCAGCATTCTGTACCTTGTTCTTGTCTGCCTCCTTACAGAGGTTCTTCTGCCTTATCAGCAGTGGGAGCTTGTGTCTAGAACTCAGGAGGTAGCAAAGAGGTAGAGTTTCTGTGAAGGCTAGAAGAGAGATGTAGACTAGAGAGGGCCGGTATAGACTGGAGAGGGAGGGGTAGGCTGGAGAGAGGAGGTGTGGAGAGGGGAGGGGAGGTGTAGACTGGAGAGTGGCAGTGTAGACTAGAGAGGAGATTGTGGAGGAGGGGCAGACTCCTATAGGAGAGGCTGCAGTAGGGTTCTGGTGGACAGGCAGAGTTTCCATTTTTATTCAAGAGGGAATCTGTGACTTGTGAAAACACACTGAGCATTTCATCACAGGAAAGCTACTGAAACTGATACTGCATGCCTTTAGTCACACTCCCTTTAAGGATTATGAAAGGTCGGCTGATTTAAAGACTACAAATCCCAGGCTCCCTCAGAGGATGGCCACTTCTGAGAGGAAGTGGTTTAGTCAGGCAAGCCTCTAGGGCTTCAGCCAAATGAGAAAGAATATGAAGGAGAGCTTTGGAAAGGAATGTGGGCTCATGCCTCGGGTCTGTCTCCCTCTCTTACTCTTTCTTGGCCTCCTGTCTGATTGTTTCAGTCTGTCTGAGCTGATAAATTCCTAAGCACATAGTCAATTTACACTTGGCTTAAAAGCTCTATGGAAAAACAAAGTCTCCAGTGAGAGCACTTACTTACCTACAATTGCTAGATTAACCTTCTGGATTTTAACTGAGTTAATGCATGTGACTTCTTAGTAGGAGGAGAGAGATAATTTGGGGAGACTAAAAGAGTGTTTATATAATCCTAGGGACCCTGCATTCAAATTTTGGCCCTTTCACCTACTAGGCAAATTATAGCTATCTACTGACTAGAGAGCTGAATAACATCTCTTGCCAGAGACCCTGGGAGGCATCCGAGAACAACTTGTAAATCCAGTGCAGAGTGCTGAACAGAAAGTGTGTGTGTGTGTGTGTGTGTGTGTGTGTGTGTGTGTGTGTGTGTGTGTAGTCAGTGTCACCTGTTAGGTTCTTCAAGGGCAGTTATTAAGACTGTAGTAACTGGAGGCTACTCTGTCCGGGCACTCAGGACAATGTAGCTGTTTATTTTTCAGTCAGAAAGGCCTTTTTCAAATGAATGAAAAGTGGGAGTAGATGGGATTTTCCAGAAGGCATTTGCATCTTCACCATGCTCAGCCTCATGGTGTCCTATGTGGGTGCTTGCCCTTCACTGGTTCCGTATGTCCACCTCAGTTAAGCGTGCAAGGAGCTGCGCGGGGGCTGCAAAGAAAGGAGATTGATCTAAAGGATGCTAAAAACGCACTTTGTCAGATATATCAGATAGGATCATTAAACTGGCTAAGAAATAGAAGTTGGCAGGAGGGATTTTATGCCTTAATAATGTTGGAGTCCGACATTTTCACAGACCTAAAGCCCCTCAGAGGCTTCATGGAAGGTGGAACATACG